TATCTCCAAACACATGTCGATTCCACCGACGCAGTCCCTATTTCATCTTAAAGAACTTCTCCCAAAGAGCAGTCATCCCCGTAAGATAAGTAGGGAGTGACGACTTCTGAGCGACAAAAGAAGAAAAATCATGATGCTTGGTCCAAACATTGAAGAATCTGAAAGGTCTAGGCCCCAAGTCATTATTAGAAACCCACTTAAGTAATAAATGTGAATGATCAGATAAAGTCTGATTCAAATGCCTCACTGTAAGCTGTCGATAGAAAGCATCAGCTGTAGAATTAATGAGTACCCTATCCAGTCTCTTTTTGACTCGACCATTGGACCAAGTATACCGATTCCCAAGGAAACTAGCATCCTCTAAACCACAATATAACATCATATCATAGAAAGCAATATTGCCTCGATCACGAATATTATGACCAGTGCGCTCACCATCATGAGAAATAACATTAAACTCTCTCCCAACTAACCAATGGTCATCCATATCAAGGGAAATGTGGTGAAGACCCTCCCACAAATCCCCCCTGATAGTAACGTTACATAAAGCATGTACATGAGTCAGATAGATGGGACGTGCTAGTCTGGGATCCTCAACTCTAACGTGAAGAAATTGGGGATGATTAACAATAACAGTACAGTAGTACTCGAGTTCCAAAAAAATAGATCTTGTTCGACTCATTCTGAATTCCTGTGTCAAAGACCATCGAATATAAGCAAATCTATGCTGAAAAACAAAAGACTCCAAATTAACCAAAAGATAAACCTGATGAAGTTGAATAAGTCTCTTCAGGCACCGACGAGTAGCTGTACTAGCTATACCTCTCGTATTCCATATGATGGTACTCATCTGGATGCGCGTGAAGAGGTATCCTATGACCGACTCTTGGTCACCATCCTAGGAATTGAAGTATTGGTGGCTTTTTCATTTCTTTTTCTTGGTACCTTGGTCAAAACTATCCTCCTCTATCTTACTAGTCATGTATGCTAAGTCATCAGTGAAGATGACGATACGGACCTTGTTGATGAACTTCAGTATGAGAAGAAACATCAGAATCAGACTGATCTATGGATAAGAAAGCCTCCATATTCTGTTGACAATGTACAGCAATAACAGAAACATCTGCCTCCATAAAATCATGTGGCCTTTCTAACATATCTACCAAGAGATGATCAAAATATGTAGAACTAACCATCATAGGTGCACTGCTGATGAGGTCCAGAGACTAAACTGCTAAATGATAAGCATATGAAATAATAGGATAATTCTGAGTATCTACCCTAATGGAAGCAAATGTAGAATGATCTGATGGTAGAGAGCTAGTAATATTCGGAGTAATATGACTAATAATAGGTGGAGCAATGTAAAGACTAGGAGCCATATGGTTAGCTATTGTCTGTGATGTAGTAACTATAGTAACGGGAATAATAGGAGCAATAGTGGTGACAGTTTGAGGAGTAGAATGAGAAATCATATCTGATGTACTATCTTGTCTCCTCAGGTTCCTCTTAACAGGTGTCGAACTCATGAAAGGGGCGGTCACAACTTCCTTACCCTTACCTTTATCTTTGGCCAGAATAGGAGTAGGCCTATGGTTAAGGTCACCAATACCTAGGGCCGTAGGAGGTGGAGCAGAATGGGAGCTACTAGAACACTTCACGTTCTCTCATCCTAATTTGATGATAACCACTTTTAAAATCAATTTTAGAGAATATGCATGCACTTTGTAATTTATCTAACATGTCATCTAACCTAGGGATAGGATGTCGATATTTACCATAATGTTGTTGATGGCTCGACAATCTACACACATCCTCCAGGTTCCATATTTCTTTGGCACAAGTAACACCAGCACATAGATTCATGATTTCCCTCACATACCCGTTGCTTAGCAACTCCTCCACCTACCTTTATAGCTACTTAGTCTCCTCATGATTACTACGATAGGCTGGTCGGTTTGGAATAACAGCTCCAGATACAAAATCAATTTGGTGTTCGATGCCTCGAATGGGTGGTAACCCACTAGGCACATCCTTCGGAAAAACATCTTGAAATTCCTGCAACAAATAAGTAGCCAAACTAGTAAGGGATATATTAGGCTCCTCAGAATTGAGGAGTGATTCTTTGTATACCAAAAGAATCACGGGCTGCCTATCAACTATAACTCTCTGCAGCTCATTTCCTTTTGCAAAGAAATTTTCTCTCGTCTTTTCCCTTCTCTCTTTTTCTTTTCCCTCATTCTCTCTTTCTTTTTTCTCAATCCCTCATTATTTTCTATGAACCTCATTGTTTTTTTCCTCATATGACTCCACTCTTTTTTCCTCTCCATTAGCCACCTTACGATTTTCTCTCTTACGCTCATTTTCTTTCACTCTCATCTCCTCCTCACCTTTTAACTTAATTTGATTCTCAAACACTTGTGATATCAATGGTGCAAGAGTAATTGCCTTCCCATCCTTTCCAAAGGTGTTCCTATTTTTATACCCATCATGTATCACCTTTCTATCATATTGCCAAGGTCTTCCCAACAATATATTCCCATTATGCATAGGGACTAAATTACACGTAACATCATATCAAAACCCTTCGATTCACCCTAATATCACCACTATCATTCAACCACTGCAATCTATATGGTTTGGGATGTTTCATCATTGTAAGTCCTAACTTCTCTACAAGTTTGGTGCTAGCTACATTAGTGCAACTACCTCCATCAATAATAACACTACATACCGTATTGTTGATGTGACACCTTGTGTGGAATATGTTCTCCCGCTACTGTTCCAAGTCATCCGTCTTGATTTGAGCACTAAGAGCTCGCCTCGTGACCAATAATTCACCCACGGCATACTCCGTCTTTGCTTCATTGCTAACTTCCTCCAACTCCGGTATGTCTTCATAATCACTTTCACGTTCTCTCACCACCTCTCCATTGCGCACCACCATTGTCCTTTTGTTTAGACATTGAGAAGCCATGTGCCTCGATTCCAAACACCTAAAGCGTTGGATGTCCCTATTCCTCGTTGGTTGGCCTCCCGCCTTGATTGGAGCCTTGTTAGTATTCTCCTCTTTACCCCTTGGAAATTCAGCTTTTCCCTTTTAAAACTCAACTCTCCCCTTTTGAATAGCCTCATCACCTTTGTTATCCCACCCTGATTTCCACGAAGGATTGGAACCCGATAAATACTTAGTTGTCCCCTTCTTCTTCACTTGTTTCTCCATCTTCATAGCCACATGTAGTAGTTCATCCATCTCTACATAGTGTTGTAATTCCACAACATTCGCTATCTCCATATTCAAACCATTTATAAATCGAGCCATGTTGACCTTCCCATCTTCTTCAATATTTGCCCTAATCATCAAAATCTCCATCTCCTTGTGATAGTCTTCTACACTTCGAGACTCTTGATAAAGGCCTTGCAGCCTTTGATGAAGCTCCCTATAGTAATGACTAGGCACAAACCTCTTCCTCATGATGTTTTTCAATCCTCCCCATGTACTAACAGGCTGCTCTCTATTCCTCCTCCTTGAAGTTACTATTTGATCCCACCAAATAATAGCATAATTAGTAAATTCAAGGACTGCAATTTTTACCTTCTTTTCCTCTTAATAATTGTGGCAATCAAAGATCAATTCTAACTTCTTTTCCCACTCCAAATATGCCTCTAGATCACTTCTGCCCTTAAATGTTGAAATAGATGACCCATGTTTCCATCATCTCCATCACGATCTTGACCCAAGAAAGCCAACTAACCTAGGTTTTAGATTCGACCCAAGATTTATGAACCAAGCAACCAACACAATCGCCAACAATAAAATTTAGTCATTGTTTGAGCCACATTAAATTTTTCATTCTCATTTTTCTACTCATTTTCAAGCACACATTCTTCAATAAAATAATATTTTTCATTATATCAATAACTTTTTCGTCTTTTTCAACTACACATTCTCCATTAATTTACTATTTCAAAATACATTATTTCAAAATAATGTGGCTCAAAAGTATTTATGAATCAAATAAAATAATTTAATTTACTCAAGCTTGAGGGGTTAATTTATTTCAAGCACTGTCATCGTACTTTCATCCAAGTTTGAATCGAGTCACTACACTTTAACTTGTATCAATTTGGTCATTTTAACTTTAACTGTAGGCTCACTATAGTCCAGTTTGTGTCAAATTGGGGATTAGAACAAATCAAAGACAGCGTCATAGCAAAATTTGACAAAGCATTTACCGTAACAATCCAAACTCTTAAGTTGGCATCACAATAATATCCACCAGTAATTGATGGCAACGTTAACGTTCAATATCACTCAACTTGATGTACTTGAATATAATCACCTAATTCAAGATATAATTAAACACAATAATTTAAATGATGAAAATTGAGTTACAATAATCCAATTTAGCCCCCGTTTGCCAGCATTATTAGAGATTATAATTTTTGGAATATTGTTTCTTTCAAGAATGTATAGTTAAAAAAAAAAAATATTTTTAAAAAATTTATATATAATATTATTTAATTTAAGAATGTGTGAATAATAAAAAGAAATTATAATTTTAATGGAGTTCTAAGTTAAACTTGGGTCCTCAAAGAAAATGGCACAGAATTTGTTGAATATCGTCAAATTGACTTAAAAGTACACAATCTTTCTTAATCACTTATTATCAAAAAATAACATTTATTAATCGATACCGACACTCCCTGGTCCCACCCACGAGATATCTAATCATTTTTTCTAAAATCTAAATTTTCCCTATTCCTTCATCGACGGTTATCCTTCTCCATACCCCCCACAAATCTAAATCTCCACTCTACATCTAGATCCAACCACCTATCACCGCCCTGTCTTATCCCCCTCAACCCTTTCACAACCAGATCTATAGACACAAACACAAACTCTTCCACTACACACTACTATTTACAGTAAAAGAAACGCTTTGTGTAGAAGAAAAAGATAGCCATTTTTGTTAGGGCATCTTGTGCAAGAGTTTGTGATGGTGGAGGCACAGTCATGGACTACCAGAAGGGGAAGCAACCCAAGACTTGAAGCTAACAATGACCAAGTTCTTGATATTCCAGTAACCCCAACTGCAGAAATCAGGCAGCAACAATATGCTTTGATCTCGCCAAGTATTCTTACAGCGGCTATTATTGCATCCTGGTATTTCTCGAACATTGGAGTGCTATTGCTCAATAAATACTTGTTAAGCTTTTATGGGTACAGGTACCCAATTTTCTTGACTATGTTACACATGTTGTCTTGTGCTACCTATAGCTTATTGGCCATAAAATGGCTTGAAATTGTGCCGTTCCAGCAAATACATAGCCGTAAGCAGTTTTTCAAGATTCTTGCTTTAAGTGTGATTTTCTGTTTCTCTGTTGTATGTGGGAATACTTCATTAAGGTACCTTCCGGTGTCGTTTAATCAAGCTATTGGTGCTACTACTCCATTTTTTACAGCGATTTTTGCTTTTGTTATAACTTGTAAGAAAGAGTCTGCAGAGGTTTATTTGGCACTGGTTCCTGTAGTTCTAGGCATTGTTTTGGCTAGTAATAGTGAACCCTTGTTCCATCTTTTTGGGTTTTTGATGTGCATTGGCTCGACTGCCGGCCGGGCTTTGAAATCTGTGGTTCAGGGGTTGTTATTAACTTCAGAAGCCGAAAAATTGCACTCTATGAATCTATTGCTGTACATGGCTCCATTGGCAGCATTGGTGTTGCTGCCGTTTACTCTGTATATTGAAGGAAATGTTCTGGCTGTCACAATTGAAAAGGGGAGGGAAGATGGGTTTATGGTGTTTTTATTGATTGCAAATGCCACGGTTGCTTATTTGGTTAATTTGACTAATTTTTTGGTCACGAAGCACACGAGCGCCTTGACACTGCAAGTTTTAGGGAATGCCAAAGCTGCAGTAGCGGCAGTAGTGTCGGTCTTGATATTCAGGAATCCTGTGACGGTGATGGGAATGACGGGTTTTGCTGTAACAATAATGGGAGTGGTGCTTTACAGTGAAGCTAGAAAGAGGGCTAAAGGTACAACTCATTGACTGCAATTCTTGACTTGAATTGATGGTGCTGGAGACAAGATTATTCATATATGCCCCCCCTTTTCTGCCTTCAATTAAGAAGTTAATTGTGGGCTAAAAAGTCAAAAGACTTCAGATGATCTCTTGTATAGGAAGATGGGTTGGGAAAAAAGAGTTTTGAGTTCATGCTCTTTTTTCATTTTGCTTTACTTTATACCATTGTTCTTGAATTGGGGTGGTTTGAGAGAATAAAGTTGTCTCTTTTACTTTCCCTTTTCTGTAATTTTGTATGTCAATTTGATGAAATTGGAACATATATAAATGCTGATTCCTTTTGTATTGTTGATCATAATTTTGTAAAATTTCATATTTTAAGAATGGAATTTTGTTCTAGTGTTGGCATTGTTAGGTTTTATTTATCGCTCTTGTTTGCAGTGACTTGATTTAAGTAGAATAGTTTATAGAAAGAAGGGATAGACGGAAACTGAAATCTTTTTGTAGTTACTAAGGATCTACTTAGATCTTTGGTTAAGATCTAGCAATGCCCTATAAAGGATTCACATAGATGAGTTTAAATTTATTGGAAACAAGACTTAGTTTGTTTTTGTTTTTGTTTTGTTTAAATCTTCCAGTTAGTTATAGAAGGAACTTTATAAAGTAGTAGAAAATCCGGGTCCTTGTAAAACCGCAAGCTAATTCTTTGTGTTGAAATTTGGCCTAAAACACGTCGGGATTTAAAACTATTTGTTGCCGACTTAGGTTCTATAGTCATGCTCCACATTTTGTTTACGCATAAAATAGAGCAGGAACCTGGTGGTTCCATATCAGGTCGGTAGTTCCAAACCATCATGTTCAAACCATAGGCTGCGAAGCACGGTACATAAAATTACATGTGTGAGTCGTCTGAATTAGGCCTCCATATTTGCGTTTTCCATGTACATTAATTGTAGTGCTTGCCTTTAATCAAATAAAATGGCAATGCCATTGTCTGGAGAGAGAGAGACATCTAGTTGGAAAACGAGTGTTTTATAATTGAAGTGGTCTGGTTTAGGTCAAAAGTGTAGCAGTTGCATTTCACTGTCAACACATGTGGGCATTGGTCCAGCTTCCACATGGGAGAAAAAAGCAATTTGCTGCTCAATTTATTTGGTGGTTGGGACTTCTTTATGCTATTCACAAGTTTAATGCATTAAAATAGTGACTTAGGGGTCGTGTAGGAAAATGATGGAACACGTGGACAACACTAAAGCCCCGATTGGTAGGGTTTTTTTTTGCTTTTGCTTCTATTTTTGTAGTAAGGGTTCTCAAAGAAGACACACTGAATCAGCTTTCTCTAGAATCTCGTTTAGTTGGACAAAGCACTTCAAAATATTATACAAAAGAAGCTTTTTAAACAATCAAGAATTAAGCAATTTAGAGAATTTCGAGAAAAAATTGAAGTTCTTGATATCTTAGATCCAAGAATAAAGTTGAGCCAAAGATGAAACCATTACAAGTGAAATTGATTCCTTTTATTATTCCTAAACTAGATCGCTCGGTTCCAAAGACAGTCTTAAATTTATTCATTTCTAATTTCTGTTACTTTTGTTGTGACAACTTGAATGTCACAAAAATTTATTCAAAAAACAGAACTTCATTCTGGTATAACCCCACGAAGAATTGGAATAGTTAAGACAGGACCATCTTGAAAACAACTAGTGCTGCAACAATCAACATACAAGATTTGAAGGGAGAAATTTTCGAGGCTCCTGAAGATCCCGGAGATTGGGGAGGTAAAGGAGCCGGAGCGGGTGCTGGTGCTACAGTGATCACAAGCTTCACTCCCTTGGAGCAGTGATCCTCAACCGTGCTAATGTACCACTTTTTCCCCTGTTTTGCAAGGGTAATTACGTCATTTCCGCTGGTTAGAAGACCGGTTGTATTTGATGCCACACATTTTTGGAAGCTAGGACCATCTACTTTCAAAACATTGTCGGATCCATTCTGGTACATAAACACTGCACCAAAACCAATGTGTTTAAAATTGAACCAATATTTGGTGTGAAGCAAGAGAAGCTAAATACAAGAAAGGCTTTGTTACAATCGTGCTTGTGTTTCTATGTTTACTATGCTGAACTCAATGGGACAACGTGTAGAGTCTGTTTGTTATTATCTAGGACAATCTTGTCAAACACATTAAAAATGTCATCTAGGCATTGATATAAGCTGCTAATCCCGTGGTTGATGTCAATAACCATAATGTTTCTCATTATAAGCTTAAATTGGCAAAGGTAAAATTCTTTACGTATGAAATAACCTCGAATCCCCTTGTATTTTTAGAGAGAGACCCTATTGATTCATTTAAATCTTGTTTTCAATACGTTCCCTAGTATGAAAGCAAGATTCATGTGTACAATTTTTAATAATGAAGTGTGGGCCGTGTGGTGAGTCATTAAACGCTATCATTTTGTTAATTTCAAAAGAAATTAAGTTCGAGGACCAAAATAGGGCACATGTATAAATTCAGTGTCTAAACATGTTTTTAATCATGAATGTATATACACGATTTTTTTCTAACAGTTTAAGCTTCTAGACGAGTAGTATAATCTTAGCACTCAAAAATACAAAAAGTTTGGGGGGAGGGGTAAATACAAAGTTATTTGACATACTGAGTGTATCTCCAACGTAAAACTTCTTTCCGGCAGCCCATACTGTGTAATTGACGCCCACTTTCCAACCAGCATCACCTCCGACCATGTGTTCAGTCGCCATAGATGGAGCAGCTACCATTGCAACAAGGATTGCGATCAAGAAAGCTTTTGAGGCCATTTTGAAACCTTTACTCAAAATACTTTCGCTATGGTTTTAATTTGCTTGTAATTTGCTATACGATCGAGGATGGTTTCTTGGTGTAGGTACATCAGTGTATTTATAATCTCTCTGGTACGTTAAAGACTAGCCGGCCAACAGCAGCTGCCATAGATTTCAGCTCCACAGTAAAATGGTATGAAGCTGTCTAATTTGGCTGATATGGGTCGACTTATTTGATCAAAACAGTACGAAATTGATAAAATTAAGGTATGCTTGTTTCTCCTAGAAAGCCAAATGACAACTGCCAGCTGTTATTGATTTCATCTTTTGCCATTTTACATCAATGCTAGCCTAGACGAGACTTTTAGATCTTGATGGGCAAACTTTCAACTCGATGTAAGTCTTTCTATGCGAAATATATATTCGCGATATGGAATTCGTAACCTAAATAATAGACACCATCACGTCGTAAAATTATTTTGACTTTCTAGTGAATATTTAAATCTAAGCTCAATAATTCAATAATTATTATTTAATTAATAATGTGATGCGATTACATGAAACTGTTAAATAGTAAATGGGGAAATACATGTAAATGACCCAAATTCAAGGCCATATTTCCAAACTAACCCATTTCACTATT